TAACGAGCTTATACTCGAATCAAACGGCTCGACGAGATGAATCTAACGAGCCAAAGATCACCAAATTCCGACTTCATTAAGGCCTTAAAATGTCCAACGAACGATGCATGATCAAAGGATTCAATATCAGCCGTCCATTCAAACTACTCCCAATTCGCCCATGATCTCACGCCTATTTACGGGCTGTGCCACTCCAAAAAAAATATAAATAGAGCACTCATTCTACCCAAAGGGGAGGGAAGTGAAGAGAGAGAAGAAGAAGGGAAGAAGAAGAGAAAGGGGAAAAGGAGAATCCCCTCCTCCTCGACCACCGCCGGAGCTCTTCTTGTCGCCCGAACACGCCGGGATTCCGCGTGATATTCGGGAGAACGCAAAAATTCTTCCCAACTTCCACGTGATGCTGAAATTCTTCCCAACTTGCAACAGAGTTCCCTCCTGACGCCGAAACTCCGCCCACTTGAAGCCGGAGTTCTCCTTTGCCGCCAACAGACGTCGGACTTCTACCCGACGTCGAACCTTCACTCTTCGCCAAGTTTCTACCCGACGCCGGACTTCTACCGGTTATCAGACTTCGTTGGACGTCTACGCGAAGATGGATTTCTTTCCATTGTTGGACTTCTACCTGATGCTGTCCTTCTGATCTTCGTCGTCAGACTACAGTCTTTCCGACCTTTGTCACTCGCCGACTACGATCCTTCTGACTTATGTCACCCGCCGACTACAGTCTTTCTGACCTCTGTCGCCCGCCGACTACGGTCCTCCTGACTTATGTCGCCCGCCGACTACAGTCTTTCCGACCTCTGTCGCCCGCGAACTACGGTCCTCCTTACTTACATCGCCCGCCGACTACAGCCCTTTCGACCTTCGTCGCCAACCGACTACAGTCCTCTTGACATACGTCGCCCACCGACTACAAGTCTTCCGACCTCCGTCGCCCTCCGACTATGGCCCTTCCGACCAAACGAACATGTCAACAATGACTCTTTGTATTAACATCATGTAATGTACTCCATAAGATGTACATCAAGCTAAGGCCTTCTCCCAAGGAAGGGCCTCATTTGTAATCAACTGCAATACTATTGAATTCATTCAAACTGGGCTAGACCCCATGGTTTTTCCCCCTTTTCAGGGGTTTTCCACGTAAAAATCTTGGTGTATCATAAATGCTAAACCCTCTCTCTTATCTGATTGCGTGCCAGATTTTCGTACAACGCTAAGACGATAAACTTTATATTTCTCTACCGCCACGAATACTCCTGGACGCACCAAATATCAAATAAATCACTAATATATTTCATTTTTACCGCATATATCACTCTATTAATTTTAATATTTCATTCCATGCACCCTCATTTGTTTTATGGGTTGTAGGCATGTATATTAAAATTTTAGGTGTCAGATATATAAATAGCATGAAATAATGTGATATGTATGTAAATTTTAATAAAAAACTTGTAATTTCACTCCCTAAACTTAGATTTCATTTGAGACAATTTTTTTTAATGATTTACTACAGCAATTTTATAGTATAAAATTTTCTTTAAATTAGTGGGATGAAAGTGAGTTAGACGAGTATGATCTAAGAGCTTGTATGAATTAGACGAGTATGAATTATTGGTCGGCCTATCGATTACAATATATTAAGTTTTTTCTAATAACTACACGAAAATGATGACTTTTTAGGGCAAACTATTGATCAAATGCTTAGCTACTCGATTATTACTGCACGTAAAGCCAACGACTTCTTAAGTTCTCACTATGCGACTTTGTTGTGTCAGATCTTCGGATCTGGCTACATAATTGTTTTATTTTTTTTCTTATTTTTTGTATAGCTATATATGTAGCCAATTCCGTAACACTTAAGTCATGTATGCTACTAATGCTATATATCCGACATACGACTTCATCAAGGCCATTTATTTTGATTCTAATATAATTAATAGATATTATAATTAGTTTTACTAAATTTCTCTTCAAGGAAAAAGTAAATTTAATCTAATATATTTATTTTTATATATTTTCTTTCAATTCCTACAACCAATAAAAACAAATAAGGCTTTGGAATAGCTTTTAAATGTTTTCTAAAACATTTTTTAGTACAAAAATTTTTATTCAAGTGATTTTTATACTAAAAAATCATTTTAGAAAGCAATAAGAAAATATTACCAAACGAAACCTAAAATTTTTATTTATTTATATATAAAATATCCAAAATTATTTATTTATTTATGCACTATTTTAGTATTTAAATCACATAAATGAATAAATGTGTTTTAATTTAAATAAATTTGTACTAATAATATTTTTTTTATATCATTTAGAGATTTGAGTGTTACATAAATAAATATAAAGATTTAAGTATTTTAAATATAAATACATAAAAAATTTATGTAGAACATAAATTTCTCCTATATTTTTTGTAACATTGGTCTAATTTTTAATAATATGAATTAAAATAAAAAGTTTCCAAAGAGTTTATTACTTTTTTTTTTTATGATTTGACTTAAAGTTTGTTTGTATATGTTTGTTATATGGACTTATTAGTCTTTAAATCCAATTAAAAATATAATTATTAGATGATACGAAGGTTAAAAACATAATTTTAAGAAAGTTTTGTTGATGTTTATAAAGTTTAAAACTAATTTTAATATTTAACTGTATTCAGCCATATAATAAATTTAACTATTTTTCAAAATGCTATTTTTAGCTTGAAGTAAGTAAATGACCAATTTAAGTATTTAAGTACTTAAATGCTATAATTGTACAAAATTATTTTTTAATTACTCTCTATTTTATGTAAAAATAAAATCATTATAATTTGGTAGTTTTTTAGAATGTCAAAGAATTTTAAATTAATTATATTTGATACATCCTAAAAAAGCTATCTTGATATGGTAGGAATCTCAAGAAAAAATCAAGTTAAGGAAACTTCTGAAATTAAAATTGTGACCATCCGAACTCTGATGTCAGCACACTTACAGTCAAACTAAACGTCTCGGAAATATGAACCTAACGATACCAAATTCGACTCAATCCGAGCCCAAATGAGTCTAAATCAAAAATCCGAAACATTGTTGGAGACTTGGAGGGTTCGAGCCACAATTTGGATTATTAAACAGTGTAAACGGGACATGCTTATATTCAATTAAATAACAAATATTACCCAATAAATCAATTTGACCTGAGTGAAATATAAAAAAAACTCTTAAGAGAGAGGAAGAGAAAAAAAAAATTAAAATGTTTGTAGCTAATTTTCAAAGTATTTATAAAATTATTATGAGAAAACTAAAAAATTTAAAATAATATTATAATTATCACAAAATTTTCCTTTTTAAAGGCTAATAATAATCTTCTTACAATCATCATATTTTGATAAATTTATTTGTAAGAAAAAAAATTTTATCACAAAGATTTTAAAAGTGAGAATAAAATAATTAACAAGTTGCCCAAAAAGGCGGCAATTACAATTATTTATGAAATTAGTCATCAAATTATTGTATAAAAAATAAATTTTTTATAAAAAAATATTATGAATATTTTAAATATTTTATTTAAAAAATAAAAAAAATCCTTTTTTAGCTAATAAAAATAATGGATATGTAGGGGGAAAAGGTTACAAGGTAGGTTTCAAGCTATTATTATTTAATAACTAAATAAAAAATACCGAAGAAAGAGGAAAAAGCCAAGCCCAGCTCAGCTCTCCCCTTCTATCAACTTCTGCCTCAGCAACTGGTCACAGTCTCACATGCCTGGTTCTCTGAGAAAAAGCTTGAGAGAGAAGCAGAGAAAGAGAGAGAGGAAGATCCCATGTTCCTCATATAAAGTAGCGACATTGTGGCTTTGAGAGAAGAGGGAGAGATTGAATTGATTTGCGGCTCATGTGATGCTTGATTCCTCTTCATTTTGAACCTTATTTTGAAATGAGGAAACATGGATGGCAGCTTCCTTACCATCCTCTACAGGTTTGCATTGCCCTGTTCTGTTTCACTTTCCCGTTTGTTTATTATGCAGATGATGACTGGAGACCTCTCTTTCTCTCTCTCTGTGTTGGTCTAAATCTTTGATGCAGGTGGTGGCCATTGCTGTTTTCTTGGCTTTAGGTTTTGCTTTCTATGTGTTCTTTGCCCCTTTTGTGGGGAAGAAGGAGTTCCAATATTTGGCTTTAGGGATTTATACTCCACTTGTGAGTTATTTCTTTAATGCTACTTTATGTTTCTTGTTAGGGTTTCTGACCGAGATCTATCGTAGACAGCCCTTTCGCTTCGTCGTTTGCTTTCGGTTTAGTCAAGAGATTTTGTAGGACATTTGTGTAACTTTTGTTCATGTCATTAATGTTTGCCATTTGTAATCCAACATGAGTTTGTTGCCTGAAATATCAATGTTCGTTTGCTGTTAATATGGAAAAATTCAAAGGTGTATGACCTAACCCTACCAACCAGCATCAAAATTTAGAACCTTATTTATTTTTTGGTTAAATTTGGGAGTGGTTATCCATGCTTCCAAAATAGAATATCTAACACAGTATTTGACTATTTGGGCTTGACTTATACAAATCTTGCCCACAAACAAGTTCTTGGACTTCAATATTTTGGCATTTATCTTTGCATTTCTATTGTTCAGAAAAAAATATGTTAAAATTAGTATAATGGAAGCTTGAGAGGCAACTAGATGGAATGGTTTATTATGGGAATAATGAAAAAGGGTATTGAATAGTAAGTTTTTTGTATTGTCTATACATGTGCTGATGTAATAATATGTGGCTGGTTTGTATTTTTTCAGATAATCTCTGTTCTCTTCTTGTATATTTGGTGCGCCGCTACTGATCCTGGGGATCCTGAAGTATTGAAATCTAACAAGTATCTTGGTATTGCGAAAGTAGAAAAGAAGGACCAATCCAAGGCGTGTGGAAGGGAAATCGAATTACCTCCATCTATCAATGAGGCACATATTGAAACAGTCGAAGATAATTCCGCCATGGGCTCTGGCAGAAAAGCCACAGAAGGATCACCTCATGTGCATGAAAGTAAAAAAGATCCATGTAGATTAAATCCTTTTTTGATGATTTTGTTTAGTTGGTGCCCTCTATTTTCGCAATGCAACCAGAATGGGCAATCTTCAGAGCAGCAAGATAGTGAGGATGGGATGTTCTACTGTAGTCTATGTAAAGTAGAGGTATGCAGTTCTTGTTGTAAAAAAAAAAAGCTGTAAACTTGTATCCTTCCATTCTTTTTGGAGCTGCATAATAGATCATAATTTTAAAGGAGTGTTCTTTTTATTGTTAAGTTTATGATCTTTATAATAAAATATTGAACTCGATACTTGTATCACCAAATGCTATTTTGGCACCTTTCCATTTTATTCTGATTTAAAATATTATAATTTGTATATTTTATTTTGTTTCTTTTGTTAGTTTTCTTCTGTAGTTGCATGAGATTAGAGCCTAACATAGTCTGTGGGGTTGACCAATTTTGATGGCATCGCTGTAGTCCTTGTGCACTTTCTTGTTGGACATCTTCAGGGCACTTGCATTGAATTCTATGAAAAATGGTGAGAAGGGGGATTAAGCTAAGTTAGATGAAGCAATTTTCCTCTTTATAATGCTAGATATCTCATATTTATATCCTAAATATTTCTTTTTGGCTTAGATGTCGCTCTTGCTTCTCCAATCAATCTTTACTAGCAAAAATAGCAAATCTTGCATCATTAGCAAGTAGACACTCGCAAAACATTAAAAAATAGCTCAGCTCCATTCTAATTATGTTTTAGGAAGATCCAAATCAATGGGACGCACTTAATCATTATAATTTGTATGTCTGAAATTCCTATATTGAAGCACTTTATGTGTTTTTTGTATTGCATGTCATAATGAAATTGCGTTATTAATTTACTTGCACTTAATGGGCTTACTCTTCTAAGCAGCCATTCTTCTCTTGTATGCCGCAGGTGTCTAAATCATTGTTTAGCCTCTGCTATTTGTGTTGCGAGTTATCTTGAAGTAATATTTTGATGGTTTTATGCAGGTATCAAAATGCAGCAAGCATTGTAGGGTTTGTGACAAATGTGTGGATGGCTTTGACCATCATTGCAGGGTATGAACTTGTATTGATATGAATTTTTTTTAGTGTTCTCTGTTGAACCGCAGTTGCCCATTTTCAATGCTAATTACATGTGGATTAGTGATCATTCACCACTGCATGGAAGGCTCAGTTGATAGTGGTCATATGTGATCCATCCGGAGGAGACTTTACTTTTTTTTCTCTTTCTGAAACTTTCTACTGACTTTCTTCTCGCACTTGCTTTTGTAGTGGCTAAATAACTGTATTGGCAGAAGAAATTATGGAAGATTCTTCATACTCATGGTCTCAGCACTTATCTTGGTAAGCATACACCTTCAATCTCCATTAAATCCATTTTTAGATACATCAGTATCATTAGCAGTTTAAACACATTTTTTATGCCCATGCCAACCAATGCATTTCAATGCCCCTGAATTCCAAGTTTAAACCTCCAAAAGTAAATTGAAATGGTGTCCAAATCAAATTCCGATGCAATGTAGCTAGCATTTTGGTTCAGGTCCTTTTCATTTTGACTGCTTATTGACAGGTCTCTATGGTTTCTGTACCTTGGTCTTGGGCTTGCAGCTTGTTCTTCAGTGGTCGACAGGAATTGCAGTGCTGATTTTATGTTTCCTTGAACGGAATCAGTTCTCAGTCAATATAGTCTCAAAATTGGGAAGTAGCTTCTCTTTGGTGCCATTTGTCGTGGTTGTGGTTAGTTTACAAACGCCTTTTTCATTTTCCAAAAGTGCAAGCTGCTTACCATGCATTTAGTAGAGGTTTAAGAGCAACCTTGATTTAAAAAAAAAGTCAAAATTTGATTGTTTTACATTATGCCATTGGCATGCATGCTGATTGGAAGCTAGATTTTACATTATTCATACTATGGAAATTTGTGATTATAATTATTTGACAAGGCATGCCATTCTTGACAGGCTTCTTGTACCTTCCTAGCAATGCTTTCCACTCTGCCACTTGCTCAGCTTTTCTTCTTCCATGTTTTGTTGATAAAAAAGGTAAGTTCCATAAGTTGCTCTTTGCTTGACATCAGTTTTATGGAATGTTTTTTTTTTGGAAATTTAGATAGTATGTTCGCTCGAATTACTTTTATTTAAATTCATTACATATGATGTACAAAATCTGTTCATTGTGGTTTCTCGCTAATGAACATCTTCTTTTTCAACTGAGGTGTCTTAAAAGATGATATTTAACAAGAAAATTCTTTTGACTTTCTTCTTCTTGATGGATATGGTTCATATTTGTAGGCTCCAATGATTCACTCTCCGACCTTTTGCTAGGATAGTTTTAAGGATTGCTAGGTTAAATTTTCAGAAGGCAGATTAAGTTGAAGATCATACAATACCCATATATTTTATTCTTATTTTGCAAAGGCTTTATTATATGGCTCTAGATTTTCCGTAGGCACAAGCTTCCATGGTTAATTATCCATCCCGGTAACGAAATATAACTTTTGATTAAAGTTGTCTTTAGATAATCACTAGGTATCAAGCATATACAACAAATTTGGTATTGGTATTTTAAATTTATCATCATAAACTTAAAGCGAATGATGGAGGAAAATATAAATGATAATAAATCCAATTCAGATGTCATAATTCCATCGTCATAGTCTGTCATGGTCTCCATTTTACTCAGTCACTAGTGGTAGTCAGCCTAATCTAATTAAAGTCATGAGTTCCTGAAAGGAAGTGGATACAATTTTCAAACAACAATAATAAATTAGGAATAAGAACACACAAAAAACTATTTTTATTGCAAGATATATGAAAGAAAATATCAAGATACAGTTGGATCTTCAATTAACGAGGAAGTTCCCACTCTTCCAAATCCCTAGCTGGCGGCTAGAGCCCTCACAACCTAAGAAAGTTCGAATTTCAGCAAGCTCAAAACATAATCCTGAAATCATCCTATTGTTAAGCTTAAATAGACTCCCTAATTTCCTCCCAAATCTGCATTCAAATAAGTCATCTTCTTATAAATAATTCACTCCTAAATCTGAATTCAAATCAACATTATTTCCTTAAATAAATCTTCCTAATTTCTTTCCAATCAAATCAATCATCTTTCTCTAAATAAACCTTCCTATTTTCCTCCCAATGAAATCAACCCTCTTTCCCTAGATAAACCTTCCTAATTCCTCCCAATCAAATCAATTGGTCCATTAATAATCCCCTACCAAAGACCCACTTTGTCCGCAAGGTGGAAAAATGGCTCATTCCCCAATTTCCTCGTCATCACAAACGGTGAGCACCCGAAGAGTTTGATCTTTATACCTGTGCCATGGTGTATATCTCTCCTCACATCTAAAACAAAATCCGTACTCCCTCTTTTAATGTTCTTCAATTTTTGTATGCTTATTGAAGTTTTTTTTAAGTCTTCCTCCTACAGTCTTCTCTTTCAGGGTCTCCTAAAGAATACTTGTCGGCTCCTTGGATGCCAGAAAGGTAATGGTCATCCGTATGAATCTCCTGAGCTGCTGGCTCTAGCTTCTCTCTCCAGGTGCCTCTAATTCTCCACTAATTGGGCTAGCTTCATAGCCTCTCCCAAATCACGGGGCCTCATCACTCTAACTGCCACCCGAATCTTTGGTCTTAGCCATTTCATAATTTCCTTCAGTATAGTCTTCAAAAGCCGGTCCAGTCGGCTGGCCAGGTGCTCAAACTGCTCACGGTACTCCACCATTGTCCCCTCCTGCGTTAGGTCGAAGAACTGCTCATAGAAGTCCCCTCCTCTGCTGGTTCGGAAGCACTCCAACAAGCACTCAAACTCCATCTAGGTCCGTATGTGTCACCTTGTATCCCTCCACTGATACCATGCCAATGCTTTCCCCTCACATCCTGACCATCGTTAGTCTCTCATCCTTTGTCAACCTATTAATGGTGAAGTTACTTTCCACCCTATATATCAACCCATGTGCATCTTCACCCTAAAAAATAGACATCTTCAGCTTCCTCACCCTCGGATCTCCTTTGTTCACCCTATTTCCTCCATAATTTCTCATTCCCCTCTTCTACGCTCGTACCCAAATCTTTCGTCAAAATCCCACATTCTCCTTTGAAATCACTCCCTCACAACCTAGGAAAGTTCTAATTTTAGCAAACTCAAAGCATAATCCTGAAATCATTCTATTGTTAGCGTTAAGTAGGCTCCCCTCCCTCCCAAATTTGAATTCATATCAGTCATATTTCCTTAAGAATTCCCTCCCAAATCTGAATTCGAATCAGCACTCTTTTCCTAAATAAATCTTTCTAACTTCATTCCAATCAAATCAACACTTTTTTCCTAAATAAATCTTCCTAATTTCCTCCAAATCAAATCAACCCTCTTTCTCTAAATAAACATTCTTAATTTTCCTCCCAATCAAATCAGCTAGTCCATTTACTTTGTGCATTCCTCAACCATCTTCCAATAGATTTAGTAAAACAAAGGCTAGTGCAATCTGCTCCTTTGGTTTAAAGTGCAGGTTGGTGTAGGGTAGAGACACTCATGGTAGGCTTTGTGTATTGGGGAAAGCTGATGCAGGGCAGCATTACGCCATTACTTTACACTCTTACCATTTAGCATTGTGGTGGTTGCATGAACAACTTACCCGTTAGAAAAAATAAACTGTCAAGTCCAATTGTGGAATGGAAAATAGTTATGCAAGAATTCTTCCAATTTCATGGAATTTATGCTTTTGATGACTTTATTTCTTACTCTTTAAATGGTTTCTCTTTTTATCACCGCTGTATTTTGTCAACTGACAGGGAATCAGCACTTATGATTATATAATAGCTTTAAGGGAACAGGATCAGCAAGGCAATAGTGTTCAACAAAGCCCCCAAATGTCTCCGGTGAGTTCTGTTACTGGATTAAGCAGTGGTAGTTCCTTTAATGCTTTTCGCCGTGCTGCCTGGTGCACTCCTCCAAGACTATTTCTTGAGGATCAGGTACGTTTTGCATCTTATTTAGGATTATATAGTCATCATCCAAGCCTTCATTGTGATTATGATAACATCTATGCATTGTCATCATTATGTGGCATTCTTTTATCAAAATATTATTAGCTGCAAATCTTGAGGAAGGATGAGGAATTGAGGATCCATATGTGAAAGCCCACCTTTGTTATTAGATCCTTCGTTAAATTTTTTTTTTTTGAGGTGGAGCTCTCCAGGTCTTAACACCCGGTGTAGAGTTTTGAGCAGAGTTGGTTGAGTTTCCTATCTGTTGTTTTGGTTGATGATATTGATAACATTTATTGGAATAAAAAAGACATTTTTCTCGATGTAGCTTACTAAACAAATTACAAGTTTTGGTAGTGCTATTGATAACATCTCTATTGACTCCACTAATATTAAACTTGGGCTTATTCTAGTTGGAGCCTCTTGACTAATTAGCATGCTCATCCTCAAAATTTTCATTGTTATTACTATTATGCAGAGCTTCGTTCCTTTGAGTTGTTTGAAAATCAGTTGGCACTCTTTTACCTCTCTGCATCAGTACCAAATTATCTTTTATTTCTATGGGAACCAATGGCTGTCTAATCATGTCCCTTAGTCCACATACGAATTGATAACATTTTTTCTCCGCATTAGGGACTAATTGAGGCGCATACCTTGAACCATTATAAATCTAGCTTTTCATTTTATTACTCATTAGTCTTGTCGTACAAATCTTATTAGTTTGTCTTGCATTTGCCTTTATGCAGAAAAAAACACAAACCCATCCCAAAATATTTTTACACATTCTTTACACTTAATAAAAGATTTAGTTCAACATCCAAATTTGTTTTGGGATTGATCTTGCCATCATCTCTTTGCTTCACCATCCAATGCAAATATGCCAAACAACCCTTTTTTTTAGGGCAAAAAATACTTCTCTTGTCACCTAACTTGAACTCAGAGTATATAAGCGGGAGGAGATAGTCAGACAAAAATTTGATGCTTAACATATTTTTTAAGATGTATGATATTTTAAAATATATATTTTTGGATACTTAATACTTTCAATGTCACAAAATAGCCACTAAACAAAAAAAATTCTCATTTATCATGAAGACATTCACATACATCTTAAAACAATACATATTATATAATAAATATTTGAAGAGTATTTGAACTTTTTTATGTATGCATCATAATTTTACATTCCCCTAATATTAATTGCTCTTACTTTTTGTAAACAAAGCTACTTCTTTCATTGATTTACTCCACTGCGGATTTTCTTGAAAAATATTTATCAAGCAATAGGGTGAGTCATGAATATACAACTTAATGAATATATCATAGTTATAAGTTACATTAACTAAAAAAAAAAATGCTAGTCCTCATATGTAAGTTGTAAAGAAATAATAAATTTTGAATTTTCATTTCAATAACAATTATAATTATAAACATTGTTAGAAGTCACAATTTTCAATACTAAAGAAATCATAGCATTTAACTTGACATTAAGAGCTTGAATGTGTATTGAGCAGCTTGTTATATCATTACTTATTCTTTAGTATATAATTAACACTTCCATATTGGGACCATCTTTTAAATATAAACTTAACTCACTCTTGATGGATATATCACATGTTGGCACAAAAAGACATTGTTTATAAATCTGCTATTATCTGAGGTGGCCAATGCATCTTCTGTCATCTGTCTTGATGTAACTCATACATTTACTATTGTCCATAACTAGTACAATAAGAGAGTTTTTTTTTTCAACATGCACATGCAAGCATTTTTTTCTTTCTCTTTGCATTCTTGTTTGACATATAATATCGACTTGCAAGGGACAATGCTTAGAATAATATATGCTTTACTTAAACAATTGAAATATAATATGGAGATGCACATATCATTCATAACCATATGAAAGAATCATTCTACATGAGATAGATCATTCTAATATTTGAGATAAAATCTTGTTGCAATAATACTTGCCTTGTGCTTATAAAATAACATGAATCATAAATATGTCCATTAATGAATTTTACCATAACTGCATTTATTCTGAACTAAAAATATAAGGCTAAATCTTTAAAAAACAATTGAAATATAATATGGAGATGCACATATCTTTCATAACCATATGAAAGAATCATGCTACATGAGAGAGATCATTCTAAACTATTTGAGATAAAATCTTGTTGCAATAATACTTGCCTTGTGCTTATAAAATAACATGAATCATAAATATATCCATTAATGAATTTTACCATAACTTCATTTATTCTGAACTAAAAATATAAGGCTAAATCTTTTAAATTGCTCCCTTTAAGAATAATTCTAAAAGCATAAAGGCTAAATCTTTTAAGTATTGTAGTAGCTCCATATACTCATTTATCTCTATTGTAGGAAGTCAATTTAGATTATATACATATAAAGTGACATATCACCTTTTATTTAAGTTTAGCTTTCCTTGAATCTAACCTACATTGATTTTAAAATTTAAGTCAGATATACACCATTGACTTTACTAATATAAGCTAGGGGTTAAATGAGCCGAGCCGACTCGAGTCGGCTCTACTCAAACTCAATTCATTAACGAGCTCGTGAGTAGAGCTTATTGGGCCACGAGCTCAAGCTCGAGCATAAAATTGAGCTCGAATGCTTAATGAGCTCGAGTTCGGTTTTATAGAACTCGGCTTGTCAGCTTGGGAATCAGCTCGTATTTTTTAAAACAAAATTTAAAATATTATATTTGATATTAAAAAAAATTAAAATTGAAACAAATGATCTTTAAATACTTTTATGTGTATAAATATGCTTTTTTAGTTTTTCTTAAAAAATTGAAAGTAAGAAAGTACAACTTTTGTCATTTTTTCATTAATGCTGCTTTTTTTTGTCACATGCCTATGAACCGGTCATATCCTCCATTAAATCTTTTTCCTTGCAAATTGAGTTGCACGCCTACAAACCTTCTCCATTGAGCTCCATTGGGACTACTGTGTAAATGACTTCCATAGGTCTCATGAGAAGCCGAGGCAAGACATCCGATGGTCTTCTCCAATGCTGATGAGCTTCTTTGATGAACTCGAATTAGCGGGTTGAGCTCAAGCTTAGGTCAATTTTAATGAGTCGAGCTCAAGCTCAATATACAAGCTTTACTCGAGCTCGAGTTCAAGCCTACTATTCATTGGACAAGCCGAGCTCGAATTAGGCGTGACTCGAGCTCAGTTCGACTAGTTTAAGCCCCTATTATAAACCATTATCTTGATAATATTTATATGTAGTAACTTGTAAAATTTATTGCATGAGTCATTAATTTATAAATCATTTTATTTAAATTGTTAAGAAGTTTTATGTTAATAAAGGTTGAGGTAGATCTAAAAAGACTTGGTTAGAAAATATTAGAAGTAACATTTCTTTATTAAATGTAGATGCGAATTTGACTCTTAAAAGGCACAATGGAGAAAAAGGATTCATGTAGCTGATTGGAAACCCTTGTAGATCTCAAGCAATCTTACAAGAAATCTGAATTTTGGTGAGACTTCACCACAAATCTCCAATCAAACTCAAGAAAACAAAAAAATAGATGGTATGAATTAATGAGAAACATGAAGAAAATAACAAGATACAATGGATCCTCTATTCGAGAGGAGGATCTTTCTCTCCCAATTCTCTATACGTCGCTAGAGTCCAAGAACACCAAGGAAAACCTAGAAATTCAGCAAACAATCAAGATAACCCTAACCCTAATTCCAACCTTCTAGATAAAGCACACAAAATAACTCCCCAAAAAGACTAAACAACTATCCTAATTAAAAAAAAACTCCTAATTCAAAAATTTCCCTCCTAATCCCTCTTCCTCTCTCTCTACTTAAGCACTGGGCCCAACATGAGAGTTTTAGAATTTTGAAAACCTTATTACATAATACATGTTAGACGGAAAAAACCCTAGCCCGCCGCACTCTTTTCATAAATCTTTTTCGCCTCCTCATCCCTAGCCGCATCGTGCCCTCCCGTCTCTCTTCTCCCTCGCTCGATCGAATAGGTGACAAATTTAGAATTTTGTTAGTGGTCTAATGAGATTTATATTTGCCATTGGACGATGTTGATTTATCCCCTAATTCCAAACCATTTCCTCTTGGACGACCATTTTGTCAACTAGGGGAATCACCCCTTGTTTCTGAAAGTTTCTAAAGCTTATCTCAAATATCCGAGTCCTGACTTCGAGAAGGCTTTCTTTTGGCTTATGACAGTTATATTTTTGCTAGATGCCTTCAATTATTATCGTTGTGCTGCTTATTCTGGATGTATATTTATGGTTTTGATTATCTTTCTTGCATTTAAAATCAAGACAATTAAACGAGCTCGAGTTCTATCTTCTATTCAGTTTTTATTTATGCTCTATCATGAAACTTCTTAATGGGTTGTATAATTCCAATTACTTTTTTTTGTAATGATGTCATGATATGCAATTTGGTCTAACATTGATCTGAATGCTCTATTTTTATGTTGATCAAGTTTTTATAGTACTTAACTACACTTGATATTGATCAAATTTTAAATAAATTTTTTTAAAGAAAGATTATTACTCACAATATATTGATTTCTTCTACAACTTAATTTTTTTTTAAAAGAAATTAAAAGTTATAGTTGTTGATATGTTATAAATAGTTAAGTTTTTTTTTTTATAATTGAAAACAAAATTTAATGAAGTGTTAGAAAAAAATCCCAAATAAAGAAAATTTTGATTTACAATTAAAGAATCAAGACAATTAAACGTGCTCGAGTTTGAGCTTTTTAATCGAGCTCGATCTCGAGCTCGAGCTTTCGAGTTAAGATCGAGCTTGGTGTTTTCTAAAGGAGTTGATCTCGTGCTCGAGTTCGAGCTAATTAATGGTTAAACGAGCCAGGCTGGATAAGACAGATACTCGACTCGTTTACACCCCTACTTCCAACTCCTTATTCAGCACGGCCGACAACTTTGAACATGCTGTGTGATCCCCAATAGC